ACTACATGTAATGCGTGATTAGTAAGGTGGTGTTTATTCCTACAAAACTATAATATTATATTATGTGCGAATATTTACCGGGTAAGAAGACTAACAGAGCTTATTTCGTGTCAAGGTGCTTTCTGGACTGCAACCATGACGATATCGATGAAAATAAAATTGCTACATCAATGAAGAATCCCTCTCAAACTTTAATTATGTAGTTTAAGAATCTCAAATTATTACAACAAAATGATAGATATTTTAAATCATTCAGAAAGTGAAAGAAATTTGATCATAGATTCATAATTAGGAACAAATTAATATACAATTAGAATAAAATTAACAATAATTTATTATTACATGAAGTAATCTCTCTCGCAATGATGGAGCGCAAACAGCGCGAATAAGTTATTTTCCTCATATTTCTTATAACTACTCCCGTGCACCAGGCGGGTGTCCTCAACAATAAAAAATCTGATAGAGCCGCTTCCAAAAATAAATCTCCAAATTGTCGGAAAATTGGCGACATACCCGATCCGAAAACCAAGCTCGAGCTCGCTCTGAAACTTTCTTCCTCTTGATCTCGTAGTCGTCGTCTCTTTTCCTCCTCAGCAGTCGTCTACGGTTCCTGGCTCGGCCAATTATCTTGTTCGCTGTACTTCAAGCAGAGTAACCAGGTATGAGAGTGTATACATACACTCTCACTCTAAAGTAAGGAATGGACGATGGTAAAAGCCAACCGACGAATTATATTTTTATTCAAGTTAAAAAGGGGAATATTTCCATAAGACTTCCACAAAGAGTGCAATCGGCGGGGAGTGTGGCGATTCATACCCACTAGAATCCTCTATTTAACTTGGAGCCTCTAACACCTAATGATACTCATTTTAAGTATTATTTCGGTGGAGCTTGTTCTGATCTTTGAGAATTTGCAAAGGGAGAAATTATTTCGCAACTTAATACGCTAATGCTGCACCCCTGCGATTTAATGTGGGCTCTATTCCGGTAAAGGGAGCCAGCGTTAACTTCCACAATCGTGAATCTAATGCGATGACAGAAAAGGCGAAGGAAGCAAGCCGGTATTATTACAAAAAGGCCATATATTTATTACGCCGATGCCACCGATACAATAACAATACGCGGAACTATATCTAATATAATGATGGTGAGCACACAACGATGATTCGCACAATTGTCGAATCACTGTTAGAGAAGTTTCTGAGAATCGAAACATATTGATTGGTTCATGCCATTCGATTTGAACCAAGGATTTGGGCATGAGTTGGGTCGCCGCGAAATTCGTGCCAAAACTGCTCAATTTCGACCATAAACAGCATCGCGTTAACATTGCTCAGGAGATGTTGGACTCTGTCCGTGACGACCCAAATGTGCTCCATAGGATCATAACTGGTGATGAATCATGGGTTTATGATTATGATGTAGAAACCAAAGCTCAATCATCCCAATGGAAGCTGCCGCATGAGCCAAGACCGAAAAAATCGCGACAAGTTCGGGTGAGCGTAAAGGTTTTACTCATAGTTTTCTTCGATTACAGTGGCGTGGTGTATTATGAGTTCTTGCCAAAGGGTAAAATGGTCAATAAAGAATATTACCTGCAAGATACGTGCAATTTGCGCGAAGCAATCCACCAGAAATGTCCGGATTTGTGGAAGAATAAAAACTGGCTTTTGCACCATGTTAATGTTCATACTTACACATCGTTGCTTGTGCGCGAATATTTGGCCAAAAATAACACAGTAATGGTGCCGTAGCCACCGTATTCCCCAGACCTACCTCTCTGTGACTTTTTTCTGTTTCCAAAACTGAAGAGGCCCATGAAAGGACGACGCTACGCCACGATTGAAGAGATAAAGATGGCATCGAAAAAGGATCTAAACAAGAACAAAAAATGATTTTTTGAAGTACTTCGAGAATTGAAAAAAACGTTTGCACAAGTGCATTATATCCGAGAGGTATTACTACAAAGAAGATAGAATAAATAGTCATGAATAAATAAATAATTTTTGAAAACATACAAAATTCGCGATACTTTTTGAACAGACCTCGTACAAGGGTCATTTAATAAGTCCGTGACTTTAAATAAAACAACATTATTTATTTAAATAATTTAAATTCATTTTGCAACATGATGCCCTTTTAACTCGATACATTTATTACGGCGATGTCCAAAGTTTCTTATGACCTCTGAAAAGTAATTTTTATTAAACTGCTCTACTAACTGCTCATTTCTCACAGCAATTACCTCTTCGTTGGATAAAAATCTTTTATCCACAGCCAAATTTTCATATCAGGAAACAAAAAATAGTTGAAAGGGGTCAAATCTGGAAAATAAAGTGGATGAAGAAGTATTACGTAGCATAAACATAATTTTTCGCTTTTTTCGGCGCAAATTTGCCTGACTTAATCCATATTTTCGACTAATTTTTTTCTATTGTATAATAATGAATTTATATTTCATCAACAGTAATGTAGTATCACAAAAACTCCTTTAGATTATGTTAAAATACAAGGGGGCTCAATAAGTCTTTACAAAAAGAAAGAATAAAAAGTTTTGCGTATGTAATTTTTTTTATTTTTCAACATAATCTCCTTGAAGGTCGATATATTTTATTAAACGGCCTTCCAGTTTTTTTAAGCCATCAGAAAAATATGATTCTGAAAATCGTCAGAATAGGCATTTGCTTCGGCGATGACTTCTTCATTCGACATATGCGTGCCAAAAGATTCTGAGGGGTGACCACGCGGGTTCGTTTGTGACGAGAGCAAGCAGTACGCTTGCTCCTCGTCTGCCCTTCTTCTCTCTCTCCCTCTTATCACTCGGCATGGCGACGTGGTCAGCGTTCGGCGCATATATTTATTGCGCCTAACCACTGGCCTTTATGTTTTTCCAGCCGCCAAAGATTGCCGAGCAAGATTGAGAGCGCCCGAAGAAACAAGAGCGCAGCGACTATGAGGTAGAGAGAGACAGAGAGAGAGAGAGAGAGAGAGAGAGAGAGAAAGAGAGAAAGTTAGCGAGCATGCTAGAGTGCGCGTCAATGCACGCACTATGCAGGTTTAGGCCGGCGTGTGACGCGCGACCAATTAACGCTTTTGTCGCACGCCGCCTAATGAGTAGGCTTGGTGGGAGAGCCCGGCGAGAGCGCGAATGCTGACCATGCGTCAAGTCGCGTGAGGTAGTTCCCGGAAGAAAGTTGAGGAGAGAAGTTGGAAGTAGCAGCGCGATGAGAGAAGAAGAAACACACGTGCAGCAGTGACCAGACCTGGGCGAGCCGAGGCAACGTGTGGAGGCAACACCTGCAGCAGGGCATTCAGTGTCGCCCTCGCCGCCATGCACTGCATGACTTCCAGTGGGTTCACCACGGGCTACGCCGAGGAAGACGTCCAGCCAGCGGCCAGGTCAACTCCCCGTTGCCGGCTCATCGCCAAGGACAAAGGTCAGGTTATCTCTCTCTCCCGGTATTTCTCTCTCTCATGGTGATGCGCGGCCGCGTAGGAACGATAGGTAGCCAGGCGATCACTTGCCGGCTACGCTCATCGTAATGCGGTAGAGAGGTTTCAACGTATTCTTTCCTTTGTAAGGAGGTAAATGGCCAAGGCGATTTAGTCGCCGGGCCATTCGTCCCCCCGCGTAAGTTTAAGTTGTTCTGTATATGTGCGCGTGATGTAAACGTTATTGTAACTGATTTTGTATTTGTTTGTCTGAATAGATTTAAGTTGTATGTTCCAAGTAAAGAAAATTATTTATTCGTTCGACCTATCCTCTCGTTCCCCGATTGTTGAAGAGCAAAAGTGCCTCTCTTACTCTCCCCTTAATAAATTAGTGACGTCAGTGCCGAATATGGCGCTGCCCCCGTTACACGTTTGTTTTCAACAGTGAGCAAACGCGGCACCCATCTTGCTGATATTTCTTTCATCCCCAATTTTTCTTGCAAAATTGAAATGACTGTACACTTTGATACCTTTGTGGCCTCAACTCATTCTCGCAATTTTAATCTTCTATCACACAACACCATATCGTGGATTTTGTTGGCCATTTCGGGCGTACTCACTTCTACGGGGCGTCCTGAACGAGGTTCATCTTGTGTTGTTGTACGGCCGCCTTTAAAATCATTTACCCAGTTATAAACAGTCTTAAACACAGGGGCAGTCTTGTCATGAACGGCGTTCAACTCAACTGTGATTTCTTTTGGTGTAAGACCATTCAAATGTTTTTTCCATTTTTCAAATAAACCAATAACTTTTTGTTCAACCAACGCTCACAAAAAAACGACTTAATTAATCGAGCTGAAACTTTGTACGATATCTAGTTAGTAGTATTGCTTGCCAAAAACATCATAATTTACGCGTGACGAGCGCCATCTTTTGGATTTTGTAGACTTATTGAGCCCCCCTCGTATGGTGAAACATTGTTCAGACGCAACCACACATGTTCGCTTGTTATGAGCTGTGAGTAAGCGCGGCATCCATCTTGCAGAAAACACTCTTATGCTCAAATATTCATATAAAATATTCCATATACATCCTACTAAAATATTAAGAGCCTCACGTACTTTCAATCGACGATCAGCGAGTACAATATCATGAACTCTATCGATCATGTCTTGAGTACTCACCTCTTCTGGACGGCTAGAACACTTAACTCAATAATGCTCTCATGATCACAATGAAATTCAGTAAACCACTTTTGAATCATGCCATGCGATGGAGCAGAGTCTCCAGAATATTTCCTGAGCTTTTCTTCAGATTCTTTGATTGATTTTCCCCGTGAAACATAATGTTTAATAAGCACACGAAACTCATTTTTTCCATGATGGTATTTATAAAATAAAAAACTAAATTCAAATAATTAAAAATTGTTAAAATGCTAAGTTAATCGTTTCTAAAAGTAACTAATATACATTGTTGTGTACATTGTTAAAATCTTCATTTTCATAGCAAAATGGTATATATAAAATGTATTCTAATTAACAAATTTGTTCAAAGACAGATTTACTTACCAAAAATACTGTCATCTCCCATTTTTTTTCCATAATGAAGCATACAATCACCTAAAATTCCTTCTGGTTGCGGGTAAGTTGAAGCTTTTGCTTGACCACTAAGTTTACTGATACCCTTAACAGCCGCCATTTTTGCTCGAGCTGTTGGATTAGGTTGCAAAAATTCTTTTGTTTTCATTTGCAATTCTTCTACCAGTTCAAATGTTACATCTGTTTTCTGCAAGTAAACGAGAATCATTATTTATTATTGTCAAACTCACGAAATCTTGACAGTAACCAAATGTAATTTGCAACTAATACTTTGTTCTAATAATTTCAAATTACAAATAGTTTTGATAATCTTATTTTAGAAAAATCCGAATTATAACCATATTGCGACGGTTAAGTGAGCATGCTTACATGTTTTAGTTTAATATTATTTAAATTAATGGACTTCTGACAGGAAAATCTGCTTTATGCGAGATTTCCTTTCTGCCTGTTACTTCTCGATATCTGCATCGTCAGACTGGATGCATGTGTGTATGTATGAGTATCCGACGCAAACTCATTCGTCTAATTTAAAACTTATTGGTTTGCAGAATCACTGCCGGAGCGTTATCAGCTATCACTGATACCTCGGAAGCTTTACCAATGGCAGCATCAGCATTAGAAACAACAAAGCGATAATAGGAACGACGGCAACACGACTTACTTCTTTCATTCGCGCGCGCGTATATTTGTAGTGAATCGTGATAGTTGAATACTCTCTGGGTACATCGCATTCTTTGACCACCGATGTTGGTGCGGTGTTATCTGTTTAATGTTTGTAACGGTCGGTAATAAACGTTTGTTTTGTTTGTAATTCCCGGAATAATTGTTTTCTTGTCTCCTATCTTTTCCATTTCCACATACGCTCACGCATGTAGACGTCGTAATTTATAAACCCAGCAAGTTATTTAGTAGCTATAGTATTCATGCTTTCCTTCCCTAAATAATTTATAAATAGAATTGCGGGCTGAACATTAACTTCAAAATACCAACTCTCCATTTATAGATTAACGGTTCAAAATCAATAGTTCTTTCACATAAAATTGATCACTGACTTTTCTCAAGAACAAGGAATTCTAAATTAGAATTCGATCTAAATAACACCAGCGTAATTATCGGGACAAAATATAACAAATACATAATGGTAACTATATTCTATATCTCTCTTTCTATCTATTCTCCTCCTCTCTCTCTCTCCCTCTCTCTATTTCTTTTAATGTATAAAATTACAAAACTATAAAAGTCTCTATACTTGGAACAGTACTATAATATGTCCAGATCTATACTATCAGTAAAGTTTGTAACAGAAATGCAAATAACCTGACCAAGCTAACTGTTAAAGATTGATTTAAAAGTCGTGTGGGTTCGGAAAAAATGAATACGTCCTAGCTGTAAAGATTTCGCTGAGTCACGAAATTATTAGCAGATCTGTAATGGGGTACAGGGAGATAAAAACACTTAAATGTAGAATAACGATCACATAATTATCCGACATTAATTTTGGATCTGTATATATATCCCACGTGTATATTCAACATTTACCGACGACTCAACGTGCCGCAATCCACTCTGCTTGTTACGTTGGCAGCAAGTAATACACCACTGCAACACGTGGTGCTATTAGTTGACCGACAAAGTCGTTGATGGCCGACGATACTGATGCCAACTCCTGGTTGACGCTTTTACTACTATGACTCCTCGATGCCGAAGTAGCTACGACTGTTAGAGATAAGTATTGTTATTAACATGCATCTTGAGCTGAAGGATTGCCGTTCGATAGTTACGGGTTGCTGATGGGAATTACTACCATCGGTCACCGTTTATGACCGTTATAACTCCTGATTCGCGCAGTTCTTACTGCTATTACTGACTTCTCAATTTGAAACTGACTCCTCGTCATCCCCACTCGATTCTTACCGAAGTTGTTGATATTACTTCTGACTGGGGGTTCTGTCTGTGTTCGTTCGTTCGTATCGTTTCACCGTGCGTCGTTACGTCACGTCAATCCGTCTGCTCAGTCGTCCTTCAGACAGTCGTCCGCGTTCTTACGTCTTAGTATGGTTTTCGTATAGGTAGCGACTAAACGCCACCATTCGGGTTTATGCAGCATCACCTCTACAATGTTATCGGGGGTGATGTTGCCAACTGTTGTCTCTAGTTCTCGTCTGAGTCTTGTCCAGCGGTCGCACCCGAAAAACGTGTCGTCTCGTTCGTGTCCACAATACTTGCAGTCGGGTGTTCGTACTCTGTTCATATTGTGGAGGTACCGTCGAAAGTACCCGTGGCCCATCAAGAGCCGGGTGACGTGAAAATTCACATCACCAAAATTCCTTCCAAGCCACGGTCTCATGTCCCGTATCAGTCGTCTCGTCCATTTGCTACCTCGTTCTTCTGTCCATCGGTTTTGCCACATGTCGATCGTCTTTTCGAGTTCAACGATTGCCGCGTTCTTTCGTCCCATGTGCGTCTTCTCGTGAGAAGCATAAGTTCCGTCTTTTCTGTTGCGAGTTGCAGTCCGTGTTTTGTCATCCATCGTCCAACTCGTCTCATGGTCTGGTTCAACGTCAGCTGCGCCAGCTCGGGAGATCTCTCCGTGATCACCGCCGCCACGTCACCAGCGTAGGCGACGAGGGTCACTCCGAGTGGCATCCCAAGCCGAAGCAGACTATCGTATAGACCATTCCAAAAGTCGGGTCCCAGTATCGACCCCTGAGCCACCCCAGCGGTGACCTGTGTCGTTACCTGTCCTTCGATCGTCTCGTACGTTATTCGTCTGTTTCTCAGATAATCCTCCACAACCTGAACCAGGCACGGTGGGATCCGAAAGTTGTTTTTCAGCGCCTCCAAGATATCCACCCACCTGGCCGAGTTAAAAGCATTTCTGATGTCGAGCGTCGCTAGCAGTACAATGGGTCGCGCCGCATGGCAGTGTCTGTCTAGTTCCAGGAAAGAATCAATCACCTTTTGGATCGCTCCAATCGTCGACCGACTCCTCCTGAAGCCGAATTGCAAATCTGAGAGACCCCCTCCGGCCTGTATCGCGTCCGTCAGTCTCGATCTGAGTAATTGTTCAAAGAGTTTACCAGTAGTGTCAAGTAAACTCAATGGTCGGTAGGCCGAAGGAGTGCCAGGGTCGCCCTTACCTTTTGGAATAAGAACGAGCCTCGCCTCCTTCCACCGATCGCTGAACGTTCCTGTCGTCAAGCACGTATTGTACAGGTCGAAAAGTATCTCCGGCCATAGACGAGCCACGAGCCGGAGGATCTCGGATGGTACTCCGTCCGGTCCCGGTGCCTTACCCGTCTTCATCGCATTCGTTGCTCTGATGAGCTCCTCAGCGGCAAAAGCGGAGGGCATTTGTGCGTCCACGTCATCCATCACGTTTGTCCTAATCGGGTGCGTCGGGAACAATCCGTCAACAATCCGTCCTGCTGTTTCGGCATCATTAAGTTCCGGTGAGACTCGGGTCCCTAGTTTCCCGGTCACAATCTTGTAGCCGGTTCCCCAGGGATCCTCGTTCACCTCCTCGCAGAGCTTCCTCCAGCATCGCGTCTTGCCGTCCCGTATTGCTTTCGTCAGCGTTTTCCGTGCTGTTTTGTATATGGCTTGGAGGTTTTCCCTTTCGGGTCCGCCCCCTGCCCTTGTCATTCGTCGCCGATTTGCCAGGCATATCTTGCGTAGCTTGGCTATTTCGTCCGTCCACCAGTATTGTGGCCGTCTTTTTTGTATCTGTCGTCGTTTTGTAATTGTGCTGGTGCACAAGTTGTTTATTAATTTCGCCGTCTCGTCTGTCAGTCTTTCCGTTCTTCGCCGGCCCGTTAGCTCAGGAGGAATCTTCGACCCCGGGGCTGATGCCGCCATCAACTCCTCCGAAAATTTTTGTCGGTTAAGTTTGTTAAGGTTCCACCGCGGGGGTTGGTGAATTCTCGTTTGTCTCGTTTCTGTCCGTCCCGCCACTTCGAAGACGATGTATTGATGGTCGCTGGCTGTATAGTCCTCGACCACCCGCCACCCCCTCAGCCGTGGCAGGATTCTGTCCGACGTCATCGTCACGTCAGGGATGGAGTCTCCAATCCCTGGTCGTCTGTACGTCGGCGTGTGTCCCGTATTTACTACTGCTAGGTCCAACCTTGCGGCCATTTCCAGCAGCAGTCGTCCACGTCGGTTCGTTTCGTTTATTCCCCACTCGATCGCCCTCGCATTGAGATCCCCCGCAACGATGACATCTCCGGGCAGGTCCCTGATCCCGTCTTCTAACAGCGTCGCCTTCCTTTCAAACTCCGCCGCGGTGCAGTTAGGTGTCAGGTAGACGCTGACATAAGTGACAGCGCCGACTGTAGCCCAGACGTAGTCGTCCCCGACTCCGCGGTTGGAGACTCTAAATTGAGCGGCCCCCCTTACCCAGATAGCAGTGGTCTCTGTCTTGTTTGTAATGTATGTCTGGGACATCCTTTTCCTGTATGGTTCACACAGGATCAAAATATCTACGTCATGTTCGTCGGCTATCTGCGGTAGGAGCATATCTGCAGTCCTACTTCTGTTCAGGTTTCCTTGTACTACTCTATCCGTCTTCCGGCACGCCTTCTGCACTCCTCCAGCGCGGCCCGGAACACGGCACACCTGCCGTTTCCGGCGAGGTGGGCGACGTCCCCATGCCCGGCCTCGGAGCACAGTGGGCAGATCGGTTCTCCTTTGCATTCCGTCGCGTAATGTCCGGATGCGCCGCATCTGCGGCAGCATTTCGTCCTGTCCTTGCCCGTATATTCGGCCTTCACGTGGCCGAAGCCCAGGCACCTGTAACATTTCGTCACCGTCAGTCGTTTCCGAACGCGGCAATGCACCCAGCCAATTCCGATCCAATCACGCCGAAGCAATGCGTTGGCTTCCTGCGATTCTAATTCGCAGACCGCCATATACTGCACAGCGCGGTTTGGACCGAAAATGTGGACTCGAAAGTCCGTGTCTCGTCCCGTCTCTCGTCTGAGCGCGTCCGTCACGTCTTTCGGAGTCGCAACGCAGTCGAGATCCATGATCTCCAATTGGACCTTGGAGGTCACGGCCCTGACACTGCCCGCTTCCCCGATCGTGTCTTGGATCTGTCGTCCAAACATCTCACGTCCGTCCAGCTTGTCTGCGTCTACCTGTAGCTTCAGAAGACATAAGCCGTTCTTCGTCTTCCTCAGGGTTGTA